GCAGCTCCTTCCCCGCAGCACCCGGCCCGCCGCGCCGCGGGGAGAGATTTATAGGGGTATACAGGCCCAAAAATTTAGGAGTGTGCCAATTTTTGAAAAACACTCATCTAGATTATCGATCCTAGCTCACATAGAATAACCCAAGTGTGCATGGGGTCACCCTTGGACTGTGGTTGTATTTTTTGGCACAGTGGCCAACAGGTGTCCTTCAAGGCCTGAGACGTGGCATAAAGTCACCCGTGGCATAGCGGCAGCCAAGGTTAGGATCACTGTCTGCCCCTTCCGGATCTTGTGAAAGCTTCGATTCATCTAAGCCCTGGGATTCAAAGAATGAAGAATGGTGGTGGACCATGGCTTGCTTCGACCCAATTTTCCGTATGCAGGCAGGCGGTCGAAAGGGTCAAGATGGGGGCCGTCACGGTGCGAGGCGCAGAACAAAGATGGAGCTTTGATTGCACTGTTGTGTCTGCCATTTTGACTTTTTGGACCATAATTTGGGGATACCCCTGTGCGGATGGGAGAGTTTGCAGGTCAGGAGGAACGTGGAAGGAAGCTGAACGCAAGGGGAACGGGGAGTTAAGAAAAGGGGGGACCAGAAACGATGTTGGCCAAACCAACCTATGGATTGTTGCGAGCCGCCTAGAAGACAGTGACCATACGCCCTTTATTATAAATTATAATATTATAAGTCCTTTATTTCCAAAAGCCGTCCTTTCGCTTTATTGCTTTTCCAAAAGCTTACTTTCGTCCTTCAGTTTCTTCATTTCACTTTGACCGTACAGATGGTACCACTTACGTCTTTGACACTGATGTGAAAAATATGGAAATTGGATTGTCCTTTTTAATCAAATTTACATATACTGTTCGATTTTAGATATTTTTATCGGAACAGGCCTTTTTGTAAAGTTTTTCTTCGGTTTTGGTCTTGAATTTTCCTTGGGAAAGCAAAGTGATAAACATAAACCATTGAAATGTATTATCCTGATGAACTCTTTCAGGTTTGCCCCCTTTTCAGGTTGGCCCTTTATTTTTTTCCAGGAAAATCAGGTCACCGTAGCCTAGAATCAGTATATGAGATAGGCGGGCATGTCAGCCCATCAAAATGAAGTGAAGTGAAGTGAAGTGAAGTATAAAATAAAATAAAATAAAATAAAATAAAAAAATAAAATAAAATAAGGAAGGAAGGAAGGAAGGAAGGAAGGAAGGAAGGAAGGAAGGAAGGAAGGAAG